CATGTTGTCGCGAAAAGTTTGTCCAAGACAACATCGAAGTTTGGGCATTGCAAATATCGCACTCAAGCTGCTCAAGCACTGAACCAAAAGCAGTGCACGTGATACGAAGGCTGCGTTTGCCACCGAGAGATTGGCGACAAGAAAAGCCCACCAGGCTTACCTTACTTTCGCGCGTATAACCCGCACCAAAAACCCAAAAATTTCAGTGGCAAAGTGGAGGTGCGGATGATACGCGGGGTATTTTCTATAGTGCTGCTTCACAACAATGCATGTTGTGCTGTGAAGCTCCTTAAAAGTTAAGCGAAGGCTACGGAGGCGGTTTCTGCAAATTCGTGTTTCTCCGCAAGTAGCACGGCAGCTTGCGGCTGATTTTGGCTTCGCTTGCTTGCATCGTTGAAGCGTTTAAAAAAACATTTGGGGAGAGACAATTAGATTGTTCAGTGTAAAATCTCACTGTCACACCACGCCCCGCCGCGGTGGTCTAGTGGCTGAGGTACTCGTCTGCTGACCCGCAGGTCGCGGGTTCAAATCCCGGCTGCTGCGGCTGCATTTCCGATGGAGGCAGAAATGTCATAGGCCCGTGTGCTCAGATTTGGGTGCACGTTAAAGAACCCCAGGTGGTCAAAATTTCTGGAGCCCTCCACTACGGCATCTTTCATAATCATATGGTGGTTTTGGGACGTTAAACCCCACAAATCAATCAGCTGTCACACCACAAGTATATTTTTTGGACGTTCGTGGCCGCTCAGTGACCCTCCACATGTCCCTACGTCACAAATGCCATGTTTACTTTTGGAAAGGGCTTGCTGAAAAGGTGGTGCTGTCTAAGAAAGTTCCGTAATAAATAAAGTAAGTTCCATAATAAATAAAGCAGTATTTATTTCAGCAAGGCAAATGAGATGTTATAGTGCCTATACAGATATTATCAGTACATTAATGTATTTTTGACGCGGTAGCAGGCATGCATTTCGGTTCTGTTGTTTCCAGGGTGCTGTCACAGTGTGCTAGAAAGGGTAGTGCTGTCAAGTTGTCGCCGAGTGTGAGCGCTCTTTACCTCGCTGATACCGCTAGTTCTCCAGATCTCGACCCATTCGCCAAGCCTAAGTCGATCTGTTCTCTCACCATGAGTAGCGTACGGCGGCAGGCCTTCATGGCACTGCAAAAGCTTAAGATCATCGCCGTCGCCGTGGAATTTGGAAATCGCGTAGCGGGAAGACGGCACGATGTGGACGAGTCCTGCGTGCGACTGTGGAGAAAGAAGAAAGAGAGCCTACAAGCCGCGCACCGCGACCGTAGGTCATTTCGTGACCCCAAGACCGGTGCCTACCCTGAGCTGGAGGCGGAGCTAGTAAAGTTCATCGAAGATGTGAGAAGCAGGGGTCACGCCGTATCGACCGAGATGGCCCAAGTGGAAGCGCGGCGACTTTCGAGGGAGCTAGGCCTACCTCACGAGTTCCGTGCGAGCCGCGGATGGCTGCACCACTTTATGAAGCGGCAAGGGCTCTCCATCAGACGGCGGACTACAATATGTCAACGCTTGCCGGCTTCTTATGAGGAGAAGCTGCTCAAGTACCAGAGATGTGTAATTGGCCTGCGAAAGCAGCACAATTACATTTTCTCGCAAATCGGCAATGCGGATGAAACTCCTGTTTATTTTGAAATGCCGTTGGACACAACGATTGAGAAGACGGGCAGCAGTTTGGTGAGCTTGCTGACCGGCGGGAACACGAAAGTGCGCATCACAGTCTTGCTTTGTGCGCTCGCCGACAGCACGCAACTGCGACCGTACGTCATCTTGAAAAGGAAAACTCTACCAAAGGTTCATTTGCCTGCCGGTGTGGTGGTGCACGCACACGAGAACGCGTGGATGAACAGTGACTTGTTCGTAGACTGGATCAAGACGGTATGGGAGAAGAGGCCCGGTGCGATGCTCGCAAAGAGGTCCATGCTCGTTCTTGACTCGTTCTGCGGCCACACAACTAAGGAAGTGAAGGACCGCCTTTCACGCAACGGCACCGACTTAGTTGTTATACCCGGTGGAATGACGACAATGTTGCAGCCTCTAGATGTGTCGCTTAACAAGCCCTTCAAAGCGCATGTCAAGCGCTATTACGCTGAGTGGATGGCCGAAGGCTGCTACGATTTGACGCCGACAGAACGAGTCCAAAGGCTTGATATTGCCCTATTCTGCAAGTGGATTGTTGAGGCATGGAAGGCCATTCCAGGTGAGATGGTGCGAAAAAGTTTCAAGAAATGCTGCATCACAAACAACATGGATGGAAACGAAGATGACCTTGTGCATAATAGTGAGGACTGCGGCTCAAGTGATAGCTCTAGCGAGAGCAGCGACAGTGAGTGAATTGTGACTGGCCTTGCAGACAGCGTATTCTGCTTGCTAAATGAAGCTTTTTCTGTCTACATATGTGCTATGTTGCTTGAGCAGTAGCTTTTGTACAGCCTTTTCTGTATATCAACTGTGCGGGCAATATGCGAGGATTTTTTTTTCTTTCTCGGTGAGCTGAAAGTGGGGGTGCAGATAATATGCAGGGACGGGTTATACGCGCAAAAATACTGTATGCACTGGCAGCAAAAACAAAAGGTCATGGCAAAAAACCATAGATTTTAAAGATGAGAATGCAATCGCACGCACCATGCGAAGTGCGCACTTTTGGTAAGCAGCTGGAGCCACGTTAATGGCAGTACATAGCTTTTCTTCGTTCATCTAGGCATTCTAAAGAAGATAGCTTTTTCATCTGATTACTCAAAAATTGTGAAAAGTGGCATAAGTGTTGCATGCATTCAGTGTTCATTGTTCAAAACTTGTCACCACAAAATGCAACTGAGCTTCGCAAAGCAGGTTTCACGATTTAACGAAGCAGGTTATCCTGAATGGGTTATCACAAGGGCCTGCAAAAATGTGGCAAAGAAAATAAAGAGTGTGCAGAAGGAAACAGGAGTTAGTCGTTCCACAAGCTATAAATAATATAGCCGTGATTTTTTATGTGCATAGGTTGTCGCATGAGCTTAAAAACGTGGGCAGTAGATACAAAGTTAATGTTGTTTTCAGCGTTGGCCAGAAATTGCGGCAAGTTTGTCCAACTGTGCAAATTAAATTAAACGAAGAAAATTGCGACAGGAGGAACGAATGCCTAGTAAAACATACGAGTAAATTCATTGAGTGTCGAACCAATGTAGTATACAATATACCATGTTCTTGCAACAAGGTTAACATTGGGCAAACTAGTCGATGTGGGAATATAAAAGTCCAGGAGCATGCGCATAATGTAAAAAATGGCACAGGTTCTCATTTGGCCATTCATTGTCACCGAAATGGGTGTATCCTTATTTTGAGAAGAGTGAAGTTTTGCGTTGCCACAGAGACCAACTGTCCCAAGAAATCATGGAAGCTTTTTATTTGTCACTGGAAGGTGATAATTGCATCAGCCAGCCTTCCATGACACTATCAGGTGCAGGAGTTTCATATCTCATAGATAGCTTGCACGTTTCATCAGACACATAGCAATTTAGAGTTTTGTCACTTTGAGCTTGCGCGATGGTTTTTTTCTGATCTTTGCTTTGCTTTTTTCAAATGTCATATATTCCGCTTCTTTTAGGAATAAACTTTAGTTGCGAGGCAGCGCTGCAGTTTGACTTTTGTTTTCCGTCTCTGTTTTCGTCACGCTAACGTTCGTTTGAAATGGAAGTGCACCAACCCGCCCAATGGTCCCCTCTTATGTTTCAAATTGTTTGTTCATTACTTTGTCAGACCTAGGTGCCCCTCTAAAAATGCAACTCTGTTTGTATGTTGGGGCTCGATCATATGCCTATAGGGCCTCCATGTGGATTTCAGCACTCGTAGTTGTAAAACGACTTATTCAGGAAACGCAACAGTATGACTTGCCTCTGTTTGAAATAAGTTACTTAGCGCAGATTGTATTTTGCGGCCTCATGTTGCACAGCCACGATGTTGAATAATTGGGATTCTTTCTTGGCTTTTTTTTCTCGTCACACGGAACTTATTTTTCGTGTGGTGTTTGGGCAAACTCGCATTGGTGGTGGATTCGTGTTCTCATCTGTGCCTGTTCACTGCCTGCTTCTTGGTGTGCAATTCTTGCTTTGCTTGCTACACAGTCGTCAGTGTCTCGCGCATGAACTTGTCTGCTATTCTCGTTACGGCAGAAGCACGGCTTAACCCTGCACTGCAGCTAAGTTCTAAATGCAACTGCATTTCAAGTTTTTTGTAATGTAGGCTTGTAGAAACCGTGTTTTAGATAGAGCGGTGGCCCTGCTGCTTCCTTGGGTTGCTCCCACTCATCTGTCGAGCCGTGTCTTGCCATTGCGGCATCCTTTCTGCTTGGCCATCTTTATGACTTCTGGTGGTGTCCAAGATGGAAGCTGTTCCCTCGTGACGGTCTGCGCAAAGAAGAATGAAATGCAAGAAAGTACATGACACTACTTAGCCCTATTAGCTGCATTACTTAAGGAGGAAAGAAGTGCAAATTTTATGGGCTTGGCTTTTTCTTTGTTAGACACAATATTACGGGAACTAATGTATAATAATGCCAAGAATAGTATAGGGGATGTCATTAGTAGTAAATATAATGTGAATGCAAAGGAAGAAGTGGATAGAAACTTAGCTTGCCATCTGCATGGACCGAGCCTGCTACCTTCGAATAACGGCTTCAGTCCCGCGGTGTCCCCCCCCCCCCCCCCATACACTTCATGAGATATAAATGTGTATTTAGACGCGACCAGTGATAACTGATGCTTCCGCGTTTTATTGTGAGCACCTTCAAGCATCTCAGTTGTTTTTGATTACATTGTATCAGGTATCTTCTATCTTCTATCATGATGAGTAAAAAATATATTGAGCGCAAAGAAAGGATGAGCAGACGCAGGCTCTCATGTCTTGTCGTGCTTTTTGTGCTCAACTCTATTCTATGATGTGTGAGTTGTTTTGAGTGCATCAGGGTTGCATTTATTTGTGTTTGGGCTTGCAGCAATGGTTGCCCATCATCTGAGGAGTTGTTCTGGAAGCTGGACGCTCTGCAGTGTTTCATTCGAGACTTACACTGGCCCGACGAGGTGTTTGCCAAGCACCTTGAGCAGCGGCTAAAGCTCATGGCCTGCGACATGGTGGAGTCTTGTGTTACTAGGTGAGTCGTGATTATAAGGGCATGAAGCAACACACATAGTTATTCACATCGCATCGCTGCTAGAACACATAGATGACACCTGAACACTTTCAGGCTTGGTGCAGTTGCTCGCAAGTGTTTGTACAGTCAACATGGCTAAAAAGGGTAAAATTTGGGCAGTACATCAGTGGCAAAGCAGTGGTAGCATATCGTCACTCCTAAAAGTTTTAGTGCCTGCACTACTTTCTCCTCATCAGTGTATATCATTTCTGATAAAATTTGGAGCTGTTATTCCTTCAGCTAACGTCACCAGATGAAAAATTCGAAGCACGGGTGCCTCGTGATGAACCTGATATGTGCCTGGCTGCACATTTCAGGTTCACCTACCTGCACAAGTACTTTGAGAAGCGAAGCTGTTCTTAGTCAAGGGTCTAGAGGGCGTTGCAAATGGGCTTCTACTCATTACTGTAATACTCCTCCTGCTTCATGCACGCCACCAGCGTCACTGCTTCATCAGTGTCCGCCAAGTAAACATCTGGTGCAATAGAGTGGAAGTAGGCATTTATTCGACAGTTCTTCGTCATTGCCATTGTTCTTCGTCTTCTTTTTTGTGTGTCCATGCACGGGCTCGCGATTTTGTGCACTAAAGAAATAATCAACATTCTCCACCCCCCAAAAAGGCGCGTAGTTCCAGTCTTCTAAGACAGTGAAAGCTCAATGGGGTAGAGATGCTGGACAGCTCTTCGTATGACAGATCCGTTGGCTAGCTTCACTGAACAGGCTCTGACTATCCCATTCCGTCCTTGGTGTAGCTCTATGATCCTTCCCGTCCTCCAAAGTTGCCGCGGTGCTTTATCTTCAATGATGAGCACTAGTTCCACTTCTTTAAGATGGTTCGAATCTTGAGCTTGAATACTGGCATGGTGCGCAGTACCGAGGCTCAGCAGATACTCTTTTCTCCATCTTCTCCAAAAGTGTTCAATTAACTGTGCGCAATGCATCCATCTTCTTATAAGTGAGGCTTTCGAGCTTGCAAGGTTGACTTCTTGGTGGTTGTAAGGAATACTAGTCATTGTTTTACCAGTCAAGAAATGGGCCGGTGTCAGTACTTCGATTTCTTCTGTTGACGACGATATGTGAAGGGCCTCGAATTTACCACGGCTTCTACCTCGTATAGCACTGTGGTCAGCTCTTCAGACGTGAGCCTTTGCTGGCCAAGAATCTTCCGTAGAGTAGACTTCACTGTCCTGACCATTCTTTCCCAGAAGCCTCCCCACCATGCCTTTTCTGCAATGAACTTCCATTCGAGCCTTCTTTGAGAGCAATATTCTTAAAATTTAGTGTTGAATAACAGAGTTGATAAGGATGTGGATTTGCTTCGAAGTGTTCTTGGAGGTTTGTGCATTGTCCCTAAATATAGCAGCCGGCAAGGAGGTGAACCTACGAAAAGCCAGCATGAAACTGTCAGCTGATACATCCGAGATCAACTCTAGGTGTATAGCTCTTGTGACCACGCACGTGAACAAAGCTATGTAACTTTTAAAAAATGAATTGACGTTTTTCACGTTCAGCAGACAGGCAAAATCTATTCCCACAGTTTAAAAAGGATCGGAACGACACACTCTTTCTTGTGGTAACGGTGCTACAGAGGCACTCACTGGTTTGGCTCTGTACTTTGCACGTAAGTTGCAGTCCCCCAATAACTTTCTTCATGAACTGTCGGCCTCGGGGTATCCAAAAGTTTTCTCTAATTTCAGTTGGCGTGTCTTGTACACTTTCATAAGGAATGCGCCGATGACATTCACGAACGAGAAGCTTAGTGAAGTCATGATGCAGAGGCAAAAGAACAAGATGTTTCACCATTTCAGTTTTCTAGTGCTAGTTGTAGCCTGCCTCTTATACGCGGTCGTCTTTCTGCATCCAGGAAAGGATGGAGTGTCTTGACACTGGAACGTGGATTTAACAATTTCCCTTTGCCAAGTTTGTTAATCTCTTGCAAGTATACTTCTTCCTGCGTTACCTTAATCCAATAGTATTCAGCCTTATTCATGTCCTTGTCTGTTATGCTTGATGATTTCTCCCGATGGCGCGGGTTCCTACAACTCTCAATGAATATAAAGACCTATGCTGTGATTCGCGGGACTTGTGTAAGACTGGAGTATCTTCCCAGGTCCAATATTGGAGAAAACGTCTTCACATGTAGAACTTGCACGACGCTCGGATCGCAGAAGTCTGTTTCTCCACCCGGCGCATTCAGTGTGTTCGTCGGCTATGCTTCTTCCACCTCTCTTAACCATGATGGACCCTGCCACCATAGTTGGTCGCAGCTCAGTGATTGCGACGATCTGCACCATGTGAGATTATCTGTGGGGCTATCATTCCCAGGACGCTATCGATTTTTGTCAAAGCTACATTGAATTTCTGACACCCTGTTGCCTACAAGCTGTTGCCGTTGCGATGGCGCTCCTCGGATCCAATGTAGGGCGAAGGTAGAATCGGTCCAGGAGGTCACGTTTATATTCTGTTGAAATGACTTGAGGGTCTTAATAAGGGACGTTGCCAGTTTAGTTGCAAGCACCACACCAAGGAGTTCGAGTCTGGATAGCATAACTGTCTGTAAAGGTGCAACCCTTGATTTGGCCGTGAGAAGGGCCGTAGCGACGCCTTTTTTCTATCCAACATATCTGAAATAAGCGTAGGCTTCATAAGCTTTCTGACTGGCATCACAAAATAGGTGTAGTTGTGCAGTTCCATCTCCTGTCAAAGCATCCACCCAACGGTTGACGGTCGTCTCATGAATATGTGTTAATTCCGAGCACCAGTTACTTCGTCGTATATCAAGATCTTGTGGTAGCTCATCATCCTAATCAACGTTCCTTTTCCATAGTTCTTGAAAAAGTATCTCAGCTTGGATCATGAAAAGTGCTATCACCCCCATAGGCTCGAATATTCTTGATATCGTCTATAACACAGACCTCTTGCACGGCTTTCTTTCTGTCCGCAAATATCTAAGTGCTGACTTTGAAGCAACTGTCATAACGTCTGTGGATGGGTTCCATATAAGGCCTAGCACTTTGACGTAGCCCGAAGAAATGTCAAGTTCTTCGGTCTCAGAAAACAGTTGACGTAGAGCCATCGAGTTTGACACCCATTTCCCTAGGCGCATACCTGCAGACTTCATCAAGAGGTGGGCTTCTCTGTTAATTTGTTGTGCTTCTTTCTCTGTTCTAGCTCTGATGAGAAGATCGTCTATGTAGAAAGATTCAGTTACTTTCTTGGCTGTGGACTGTAGTTTGCCCTTTACAGACATCAGGTGTTGTCGCAAAATGGCATTCAAAAGAAAGGGACTCGCTGCAGTCCCGAAGGGAACTCTGGTCATCCTCTATTCTTCTATTTCAGGTTCTAGATTCTCTGTAGTTGGAATGTCTTTGAACCAGAGGAACCGCAGAGCGTCTCGGTCTTCTTTTCTGATGCTGATCTGTAGAAAGGCTTTTTCTATATCGGCCGTCAAAACGATTGGATTCACCCTGAACCGTATGAGAAGAGCCCCCATGTCAGTCAGCAGATTGGGTCCTTTTTCTAAGCAGTCGTTCAGTGAAGAATAGTTAGGTCGATGTGCTGACGCATCGAAGACCACACGTACTCTTGTAGTCGTAGATTCACTTCAGACGACGGCATGATGCGGCATGTAATAAATCCTAGATGATACCTTGTAACTTTCGTCAGGCTCTGTGGACGCCCGTTCAGCGTGTCCTATCTTCATATAATTGGTTATAGTCGATACACATTCCACTGCGAAATCTCAATTTCGCTTCAATTTTTTTTTCCGAGCGATAACAATCTTTTTAAAGCTTCCGCTCGATTACTGTCAAGTTTTGTGCTTTCGTCTTTCCATGGGAGACTGACCTCATAGCGACCATCTACAAATGAGAGTCTTCTCTGAAACTCTTCCAGGACTGATATGCATTGCGCTTGGCTATGCTGTCATCGTCTGGTAGGATTCCAATGCTCTCAAAATCTCGGAACTTTCGTAGAACCTTGTCAGTCGCTTCAGTCGAAGTGTTCACCCGTAGTACCTTAACTGGGCTGACTAAGTTGATCAATGTATTAAAAAAAAGTGGTCCTTGAACATCCATCCAAAGGTAGAACCAAGGGAGACAAAGTCGCTGTTAGCAGAGTAACGCTGACTCTCTCCAGTCAGAAACTTCCACAAGTGATCCGCGCCAAGTAAGAAACTTACTCCGGGTACAGCGGTCATTCCAGGTGAAAATAGCTTATCAGTAGTTGGGCACCCACTGTCTTCTATCTCCCTTATGAATTCATGGTGCACTGGTACCTGAACTGCGTCATCGCAAATGAATGGAATTTTTATAGCTTGGATGAAGTGCTCCAGATTGTCGTAATGATTACGCAGACGAAGTTCTACGACGCCGTGCAGCCTTGAAAACGATCCTGTCTGTGCAAAGGTGTTGAGACTCAGGCTTATTTTACCTAGCTCTTTCAACCCGAGAGTCTTCTTAACATCTTCAGGTATAAATGTGCGTTGGCTGCCACTGTCTGCTATTCCTCCGATGTAGCATAACGCACTATCGGAAGGTTTGCAGCAAAACTTCTGTGCCTATACTTGTGTTGAACTTGTATAAAGGCTGTTCATTGTGACAATACTTGGGTCTTGTAAGTTCAGCCTTCTTGGGCTTCCATGTCGGGTCACACATTGCAGAGACATGTCTTCCTTTGCATTTTCCGCATTGTATTTTTCGGCGGCAGGTTTTGGCGTGGTGACCTTCCATGGTGCAACGAAAGCAGCACTTTTTGGCCGTGAGCTTCTTCAGCTTTGCCTCCCTGCTTATCTTGCCGGTACACTTTTCAGTAATGTGGTTCAATGAACTGCTAAAGATGCACACCTTGTTATCTATTTTCGAGGACGCGCATAGAGCTGCTGTTGTTGTTGGCTGAAACGAGGAAGCATTTTTCACTCCATGTCGGGTGTATCTCTTTTCCATACTTTTATTGCTTCTGCT